TGCCACTGCCACAGCCGTTGCTGCTGCCGCTGCCGCTGCTGCTGCTTCTGCTGCTGCTGCCACAATGCTGGCATATTTTTGCACTGACTCATGTCCGGCATCCTTGACGCCAGTCAGACACAGGCACAGGCACAGGCACAGGCTCAGGCTCCGGCCCAGGCTTAGGCACATTCGAGACTGTACAAGTGTACAAGCAACTATTGGTTCGGATTTGGGTTCGAGTTCGAATTCGGCTTTCGGTTTTGCCTAGCAGTCATTAGCCTGTAAGCAGCGCCGCATCAGTTCCTGGAAACTTCTCTCACTCTCGCTCTCTCTCTCTCCCTCTCTCTCTCTCTCTCTCTCTGTCGGTGTCTGTCTCTCTGGCCATCTCTCTGCCTCTGTTCTGCTTGGGCTGTAGGATCTGTGTCTGGGCCAATGACCGCATTCAAGGCCGCACACACAGCACACAGTTTTCCTGTTCTCATTTTTCACGCGTGTGTAAGTGATCCTTAAGTGGCCAACCTACACACTACACTTCAAAAAATAATACACTCGAACCGAATGATGTTCTGCTTTCTACAAATTATTTGTAAATGTGCGAAATAATAATTTCAAAATTTGATTTATTTTTATGTCACAAAATATACATTTCAGTTTGAGGAGTAATATTTGGAAAAACTAGCGAAGCTTAGCAAAGATATATTTATTAATCATGAAATTTACTCTATCTAATCAGGTGAGCTGCCCTTTTCTTTTGCTGAGTGTACTACAAATGCACTTGCACTTGCGTACATCACACACACACACACACACCGAGAGAGAGGGACACATTTTGTAGTTTGTTGTCCTGTGCTGGGGCGGGTGCATTGACCCAGCAACCATTGTCTCAAGTGCTTGGGTTATTTTTTATTTCTTTTTTTTTGATTTCCTAGAGGCCAGATTGCCTGTTGCCTGTTGCCAGTTGCCTGTTGCAACTTGATGCATCCTAGTTTTGCAGCTGTTGCTCGAGCTGTTGTTGTTGTTGTTGTTGCCAGTTCAATGACTTATCCGCTTAAACTGCTGCCATTTAGCTTGGCCTGTGCGGCTGTACAACAACAGTTGCTGTTTTTGTTTCTGTTTCTGTTTCTGTTGCCGTTGCCGTTGCCGTTTCCGATTCTGTTGCTGTTTCTGTTGCTATGCCAGATTTTGATTTTATTATTAGCTGCTCGAAAGCATCCTCTTTATCCTGATTTAGAATTACCTGCCAGCTCCGGCTAACGTTTATTGTACATTTTTATTGCATTTTATTTCGAATTGTAAAGTTTTTTGCTTCTTTTTTTTAAGCGTGTTTTGCCCACAGCCTTGATCTTCCAGGTTAACATTTGGCATTTGACGTTGTATTGTTTTTGTTTGTTAATTGTTTTTGTTACTCTTGACGAGACGGCATATTTTTTGAATGAGGACTGGATGTGGGACTGAAACTGGACTGGGGACTGGGGACTGGGATGCGTTGTGTGGCACAGGTTTATTAGCTCCAGGCTGGCTACCAGTTGAACTTAATTGCTATTATGATTATTCAAATTTCTACACGCATTCCAAGTTAAGTCAGCAAGAGACAGACAGAGAGACAGAGAGAGAGAGAGAGAGTGAGAGAGTGAGGGAGACAGACACAGTCGATGCCAATGCAGATAACTGATTGCCATTTGCTCATTATATGCTTGAATTAAATTTAAGTAGATGCAAATTAGTTGATTGGCCACTGATGCCAACACAAAACCGAGCAGAGCAAAAATACTCGAAACGGGAGTGGTGTGATCAACTATATATTATCATGTGTGGATCCGGTAAACGATATTGCATATATAACAAATGTAAGCCAATCACATCTTTTGTATAGTATTTAATAATTTAATGTATTCGCTACGTCTACACACAGACACATTTCTCGATCCGCATATACCATGTAGGTTATTCAAATATATTCTCTATATGTACCCGGATATGCACTTCCTTAGTGCTATAATCCCCCTTGCAATTCATTAAGTATTGGCTAACTAAAGAAACACTAATAAAAATTACTTTTGAACCAAAACAATCAAATTGCATCTGCTGCAACAATTTCATTGCTATTGGCTTATTGTGAGTAGAAACAAAAATCGTTATTCCAAATGAATTCAACTCTACATTAATGCTTTGTTAATTGGATAACATGTCGTCGTCACTCTAATTTTGACTCTATTCGCAGTGATTATCGCTGAGTTTTATATCAATTTCAGATTCAGATATTTAGTTGAATCTTGGCTTGTGCTATATGCACAATGCTTAAATAGGTTTACTTTTTCTGGCCTTGCTATTTTTGTCCAGGAAAATTGGCTCCAATAGTGTGATCAAATGTATTCCTATCCAATTCTTTTTGTCAGCGTCTTTGAATTGTTAATTGTTTGAAAGAAAAAAGTCCCTGCTATTTTTGTATAATTCTTCTCATATCAATACTGAATGTTATTTAAATTTCCGATTCAACTATTTAATTAGCCATTCACCTTAAGTTCTTGGCTTGTGTTATATTAGCAAATTGTAATATTATTCATAACAAAAATAGATCTGCAAAATGTTTAAGTAGTTCATTATTAAATATTTGTTATTTTAAAAGAAAAAATTATAATGGTTAGATTTGCCTTCTCAAATAAATACCAAAAAAATGTCTGAACCATTTTTCCACTCAGCCTCTTTGAATCTTCAATTATTAAAAAAAAAAAAAGTTCCAACTAGTTTTGTATATTTTTCCTCACATCTAAATTTATCACTGTCGTGTTCTGTTACATCAATTTAAATTTAGTAAAATATATAATAATTTTATTTTTATCTCTATCCGGATTTTGTGTCAGCCACTGTATAAGACATAGTATAATATAATTAATTTCTAAACATTTCTTGGCCACCAGCTGCGTCTGCTTCTGGTTCCGTCTGTCTTTCAGTCTTAGTCTTAGTCTTCAGTCTCCAGCAGCTGTCGACGTCAGTGCTGAGGGTCAAATCTTGTCCTTAAGAGAGCAACTTGGTCTTCAGCTGTTAGTGATAAACAACTAAATAAATAAATACAAAATCGAGTCAAAAGCTACAGAAACTTCTGCAGAATTCCATACAAATGCATTTTAATTTGAATATAAAGTCAAAATATTTTTCCATTGAATTTTTTATTTTATTTAATTTTTTTTCTTTTTGGTTTTGTTGTAGCGTCTTATTTATTATGCCTAATTAATAAAATGTTTGAACTTGAATGCGCTGATAAGGTCTGGTGTCATTTTAAATTAAACAAAACGCTGAAATCAGATCTGAGATATACAACATCATCTCCGGAGAGTGTCAGTCAACAAATATAATAAATAAAATGCTTAAAATACAAATAAAATATCAAATTCGATATCTGGCTGCAGCTCTGCATAGATCAGCTCGTGAAGGCTGAGCAAATTGACCCAAAATGCAAATTGCTCATTTTATTTTTGAGTCTGGTGTTGTTGTTATTGTTGTTTTCTTATTGTATTGTTTGAAGCGATCGATGCTCAGATCGGATCAGATCAGATCACAAGCATATAATATGTTGTCCAGTGCAACTGCTTCCGCTTCTGCCGACTGACTCTTGCACACATATAAAGAGCAGCCCGCCAAGCGGCACTGAATTGTTGCAAAAGTTGCAGTCCAGCAGAGTTCCGATCGGGTCTCGGGTCGGATGATTTGATTCGGGTGAGTTGTGGACATGTGCGATCTATGTGCGTTTATATTTGTGCATTATCAGCGAGTGGCGTGTACAATTCTAAACCTTGGGCATTATTCAAACGCTGATAAGCACGACAATAATACACCTGTCAGACGCCGAGGCACTGCGAACGAGGGCACTAAACTCCCGCCACAGTCGATGGCCGACTAGCGACTGTCGACAGCCGACTGCCGAATTACGACTGCCGACTGCCAACTGCCGACTGCTGACTGCCGACAGTCCGCTTGCCAGCCAAGTGGCGATGGCGTCTCTTGTTGCTCTTGAGCTTGGCTTGTGTTTTGAAAAACATAAACAGAGAACACGCGGCGCTGCGCGATGCACTCAAAACAAAAGCCGACGGCATTGAGCGGCCGTTTGAGCTCAAACATGTTCGCTAGCAGCAGCAGCAGCGGCGGCGAACATGTTAGCACTTCGCCGAAATTGAGTGAAAAAAACGAGCAATGCGCTGCTCTGCGCTGCGCTGCGCTGCTCTGCTCTGCTCTGCTCTGCTCATTGGTAACTTGTTGATTTGGCGCTGTCAGCTTTATGGTTAGCGGCTAGCGGGGCTGCTGACGGCTGACGGCTGGCGGCGGCAGCGGCGGCGGCGACTGATACGAGCGCATCAAACTGAGACTGAGACCGAGACTGAAATATGGCGCCGGCAGAGACGACAGCAGCAGCAGCAGCCGCAGTAGCAGCAGCAGCAGCAGCCCAGCTTTTGACTATCAGATTCTGTCCCAGAGTCAGAGTCAGAGCTCTGCCGCGAGCGAGCAAGCGCAGCTCAAAAACGTTGCAGACAGCGACGTCGCAATCGGTCGTCGTCGTTGTCGTCGTCGTCGTTGTCGTCGTCGTCGTCGTCGTCGTCACCATCGTCGGCTTTGGCTCTGTCGTCTCTGGCCTGGCTGTGGCGAGTGTGCGCGCGCTTAAAGCGGCCGAGCCGCGATTGCCGTCGATCACTCGTTCGTGTTCGGCGCTGCTCTGCGAAGCGGCGGGGCCGAGTTGTTATAAAAGTGACAAGGACATACGTAGAGCCATTAGTCGAAAACTATAAACGCTCGACGCGAAATCGTCTCCGGGTCTCGCCGTCTTATACTTCGACTAGAGTACACAACAATTTTTTTTTTTGTTAGCTCTGCTCCTCAATATTCAACCGTTTAAATTCGTTACCAAATCGCCAAGCAAAAATTTGTAGGCAATATTTTTTTTCACAAAAAAAAAATAAATAAATAAATAAACACACACACAAGCAAGCAAACAAACAAACAAACAAACAGAAAAGGAAAAGCAAACAGCGAAATACTGAAGAAAACAATTTTTTGTTTCGCACAGACATTAATTGCAAAACGCACAAAAAATTGTCAAAATCAGAATAAAAATTGTTTGCAAGTAAAAGCAAAAGTGACAACAAACAAAGCCTGAACAACTGATCAACAGATCAACTGATAAACTGATCAACTGATCAACTGAAAAGCTGAAAACAGCAGTAACTATAGCAGCACCAACAACAACAACAACAAGCAAGCGAGCGTCCTGTGTGAAGCGAAGAGCTTCAAACCCTCAAACCCTCCCCCCGGCCGAAGATACGCCTCCCAGAAAGATATCGGCAACATGCTGGCCGATTCGTATTTGATAAAATTTGTGCTGCGCCAGCTGCAGATGGAGCAGCAGGATGCACAGCATCTGTTGCTGGTTTTCCTCAGCTTTCTAACGGTAATCAGCCTGCTGCAGTGGCTCCTGCGTCACTATCAGGAACTGCGCAAGCTGCCCCCCGGCCCCTGGGGCCTGCCGGTCATCGGCTATCTGCTCTTCATGGGCAACGAGAAGCACACACGCTTCATGGAGCTGGCCACCAAATACGGCTCCCTATTCTCCACCCGCTTGGGCAGCCAGCTGACCGTCGTCATGAGTGACTACAAAATGATACGCGAGTGCTTTCGGCGCGAGGAGTTCACAGGACGACCGGATACGCCGTTCATGCAAACCCTCAACGGATATGGTGAGTACAAAGTTCCCACATATCCCAATGCAAATAAACTAAATAAATGTCGAGTGCAAAAGACAAAGCAAACAAATAAACAACACAACACAAGGCATAAAAATACACACACATTTTTTTTTTTTAATATCAATTGAATCTCTCACTGAATATAAACAATTTTTTCTTAATTATTTCTTTTTATAATCTTACTACGAGTAGTGTGAGAAATTTTACAACCTGCTTACAAATATTAGTTGTCACAGCACTGCATCCTGCCTGGGAATATATTTTAGTTTATAAATAAATATATATTCACGAGGAGTTAGTATGTTGGTGCAGGGCAGGTCGAAAAAGATCAATAATTTAGGGGGAAAGATGCTGAAAATATGTGGATAGCAATAATTTCTTTGTTTGCATTTTACTTCAATCCGCTTTTATTTACTTTTTAACTGCCCCTTTTGGTAAGCGGATTTTATTTTATATGAATATAATGATAATATAATGATAATAGCTCAACAAAAAAAACTTGTGGGGATTTTATTACTGATATTCCGTTTCAACAAAATGGCAAAGTAGGGCAAATCCAGCAATTCTGCTCGAGCCTACCTCAATTAAATAAAATATAAAACAAAATGCAGCCAGCAAAAAGAGAAGAGAAGGCAAAAATGCAAAACATTTATTTATACAAATTGAAAACTAAAAGGGAAGCGAAAGCATTTCGTTAAGTGCCCAACAGAAATGACAACTCTCGATTGACTCGAAATATCATATCGAATATATATATATATATATATATATATGTATACATCTTGAATATATTGTATTGTATTTTGTATGGATTTGCAGGCATTATCAATAGCACCGGCAAACTGTGGAAGGATCAGCGACGCTTTCTGCACGACAAGCTGCGCCAGTTCGGAATGACCTACATGGGCAGCGGCAAGCAGCAGATGCAGAAGCGCATTATGGTGAGTACTTTTGAAAGCCGTAAACTGAGCTGATCCAGCTTGAAAACCATAACCAAAACGATCAGCGATCGGTGATCAGCGATCAGCGATAACTGATACTGATACTGATAAACTATAAAAATTAAAGTGATTAAACTGATTAAACTGATTAAACGAACTTGCTGCGCGCTTTCCCAACAGACGGAGGTGCACGAGTTCATTGGACATTTGCATGCGAGCGATGGTCAACCGATTGACTTGTCTCCGGTCATCTCGGTGGCTGTGAGCAACGTCATTTGCAGCCTGATGATGTCCACCCGTTTCAGCATCGATGATCCCAAATTTAGACGCTTCAATTTCCTCATTGAGGAGGGTATGCGCCTGTTCGGTGAGATCCATACCGTTGACTATATACCGACGCTGCAATGCTTTCCCAGCATCTCAACGGCAAAGAATAAGATTGCCGAGAATCGTGCCGAGATGCAAAAATTCTATCAGGATGTCATTGATGAGCACAAGCGCAGCCTGGATCCCAGCAATGTGCGAGATCTCGTCGATTACTATCTATGTGAAATTGAAAAGGCCAAGGCCGATGGCACCGATGCCGAACTCTTCGATGGCAAGAATCATGGTGAGTACTCGACTCCGACTCCAACAACGACTCCCACTCCCATTCCCGCTCCGATTCCCACTTCGATGGGACACTCAATGTTCCGTCTCTGTCAATTTTGCTTTAGCTAATCAATTTTCTTATTCTTTTTGTCTCTCTCTCTCTCTCTCTCTCTCTCGCTCTGTCTCCGTCTCTTTCACTCTCTTGTGCTCCACAGAGGAACAGGTGGTGCAGGTGATCATTGATCTGTTCTCGGCGGGCATGGAGACAATCAAGACGACACTGTTGTGGATCAATGTGTTCATGCTGCGCAATCCGAAGGACATGCGACGCGTTCAGGACGAACTCGATCAGGTTGTTGGCCGTCATCGCTTGCCCACCATCGAGGATCTTCAATATCTGCCCGTTACGGAATCAACCATACTCGAGTCAATGCGCCGCTCCAGCATTGTGCCATTGGCCACCACACACTCGCCAACAAGGTAACTACTACTACTACAACCGCAGCATAACTTCATTCATACACATACACACACACACACACACACACACAGACATATTTGCATTGGTCGAGCGAACTGTGGCAGCTATCAGCTCAAATATCAACTATCAACTATCGACAAACGGTCAGCTATCAGTGTGTGTATTTGAGTGTGGGCCACGCCCCTTAAACGCCTTCGATTGCTTACGCAAATCCAAATGACTCTGACGAGGTCCGTGCATTCGATCGTTCATTCACACCACTGTGAATACATTCACAATCAAGCAAATGGCTTTGGCACTGGCAAACTGACAAACTGGGAAACTGGGAAACTGGCTTTCATTCAGATTTTTTGCCCCCCCATGTCAGCTGCAAGCTGCAAGCTGCAAGCTGCGCGCTGCGCGTAGCAAGCTGCAAGCTGCGTTTCGTTTTCAGTTTCCTTTGCGTCGCAGCTTGGCCCAGTTTCGGTTCTACGCACTTGATACCACCGCTGATTAGGGGCTTTAGCTTAGCTGATAACAGAAGCACGCCACGAGCCACAAATCAATATCAAATAAAACAAAACAGAAAATGCATCACTCGCGATTGGAGCCCACTTGACTAACCCCCAACTCTCTTCCCTCTCTCTATCTCTCTCTCTCTCCCCCCTCTCTCTCTCTCTCTCTCTCTCTCTCTCTCGCTATCTGCCTCTCTCGATCACTCAGAGATGTGGAACTGAATGGCTATACTATACCGGCCGGCTCGCACGTCATTCCATTGATCAACGGCGTTCACATGGACCCGACTTTGTGGGACAAGCCGGAGGAGTTTCGACCCACACGATTCATCGATACGGAGGGCAAGGTGCGCAAGCCGGAATATTTTATACCGTTCGGTGTGGGTCGTCGCATGTGCCTAGGCGATGTCCTGGCACGCATGGAGCTCTTCCTGTTCTTTTCCTCGTTCATGCATTGCTTCGATATTGCGCTGCCCGAGGGTCAGCCACTGCCGAGCCTCAAGGGCAATGTGGGTGCCACCATAACGCCGGAATCGTTCAAGGTGTGCCTCAAGCGACGTCCCCTAGTACCCACCGCCGCCGAGCCGCATCAGGTGCGAAATGTTGGCGCCAACTAAGCGCAACAACTGCAACAGTGCTTCAGGGTTCTGCAGAGCACGGTTTTGTTCCTAGACAAGTTTTTTTTTTTACACATATATATATATATATATATATATAATTAAATTTCATGGCAAAATACGATTTAACAAATTTTGCGCATTAAGTTCTTTTTAAGTTTTAGCTGTAAGTTCAAAGCTTTTCAAGGCTAAGCAACAACAACAACAGCAACATTAACAGCCTGTCAGCAACAGTAGATAAACATATATATATATATATACATATATATATTTGTGCATCTGCATGCTTTGTGTACTTAGTTAAGAAGCAAACCAATTCTATTCTTTCAACCCCAAGAAGCTGTGTTCAGTTAATTATTGCAATAATTCATTTGTAATTGTATTGCAATAATTATTTAGCAATTTACTTAGCCAAGGTACAATTTTCTGTTTATACATATGAGATAATATTTTTTTTCCTAGCCTTAACTAATTAGTTGATGTTTTTGTTTATTATAAATATATATACATATATAAATACACACACACACACACATATATATATATATATATATTTATATATATATATATTAGCTTAAGGCAGGCAAGCAAAAAAAACAAACTGTGGTTTAGTTTTATTCACAACACGTAGGAAAACATATTCAGAGAAATTACAATAATAATACAATAATAAAAAAGAGAAAACGTTTTTATATATTTCTGTAGTAAGCAGTTAATGTTTATATATTGTACAAATCGAAATAGAAGGTTTGCAATTATACAAAAAAAAATCACAAAATAACGTCAAAAATAAGTAATAATTGTAGATATTTTTTACAAACACCGCTTTAATTGTTTTTTTTTTTTTTTTTAACTCACAAGCAAATATTTAAAAGATATATATATATACTAAATTGCATAAAATAAAAATATATATTAGATTGAATTTAAAAAAAAAAAGTTTATACTTCATGTGCCACTTAATTGATTGATTGATTGATTGATAGATTGGAAGCAATTTGAAAATGTGTTAATTAAACATTGCTGTAGGCAAAGGCTATTATTTATGTATACACTATTTGTTTCGCTAAAAATACCGAACTTGTTATATACTATATAAAAAATGAAGCCAAATTGTTAATCTGCAAAAAAAAAAAAACAAAAAAAAAATGCATGCAAGAAAAAAAATATTGAAGGCAAATAAATGAAAATGCACACAACTAAAACCTAACCGTGTTTCTGCTGCTTCGAAGGATTCCGCTGCAGCTCCAGCTGGCTGAAGCGCAGTTTGAAATGTGCCGGCGCCAAAGTAATGCCACACTCGCCGTCCATGCTCACATCGCCATCCAGCTGGATGTGGAAGCGGCGCAGAATGCGGCCCGCGAAAAGCGTTAGCATCATGCGGGCCAACTCATCGCCCGGACACATGCGCCTGCCCGTCTGGAAAGGTATAAACTGCGCCGGTGCCACATACTCACCGGCGTCGCTGAGGAAACGCTCCGGCCGGAACTGTTCCGGCTCTGGCCATGCATCCGGATTCATGTGTATGGCCCACTGCAGTACGAGTATCATGCTACCGCTCGCCAAACGATAATCGCCAATGGTGATGTCCTGATCGACGCCATGCGGTATGCCCAGAGGCACTACAGACCGGATGCGCTGCACCTCCGAGAGGCAGGCGCGCAGATATGCCAGCGGCTCCAGTTCGGCCAGCGTTGGTGTCCGGCTCAATTTGAGGAGGTCCGCATGCAGTCGCTTCTGGCAGTGCTGCTCCCGTGCCATATAGAGCAGGAACCAGCGCAGTGTGGCCAGCGCTGTATCGACGCCGGCGCCAAAGAGATCGGCCAGCAGATGACGCAGTTGCTCATCGCAATAGAGCTGCGAATATGGCTGTCGCTCGCGCAGAAAATGCTCCAAAATGCTATGCGGTTCCGATGGTGGTCGCTGCTCTTGCTGTCGCTGCTCCAGCTGTCTCTCCATTCGCTCGTCGCAGCGATTGACAATTCGATCGTAGAGCTGATGCGTCTTGACCTTGCCATCGAGCAGAAAGCGTATGCAGCGCTGGTTGCCCGGCAGGTGACGCAGCCAAGGCAAAAAGTTCACCACTCCCGAGACGCCAATCAGCTTGACGCCCTGCTCCTGCAGCTGCTGCAGATACAGCCAGTTGGGATCGTTGCGCTCATAGGTCTCGCCAAAGACCACATCGTTGATTATGTTGCCCAGCGTGTGCTGCAAGGCCGGCAACGGATCCAGCACATCGTTTTGCTCTGCTTCCGTCTCAAGTGACTGCGAGAGAAAGAGACACACCCAGCGAGAGAGAGAGAGAGAGAGAGAGAAATGATGAGAGAGTGAGAACGAACACAGAGTGAAAAGTGTCAAAAGCGAAAGGGGAAAAACCGAAATAATAAGAAGCAAAAAAACAGAAAACTGAAAACGAAAGACAACATTGCAAAGCAAAGCAGCAACAACAACAGAAAAAAGAAGAGGAGAAAAAAACAAGAATCAACTGCTGGTTTATTCAAGCCGAAAATTGCATACCCTATCAGAGCGGAGTACAACGAAACTGAACTGCTCAAGTCTTCCCCACACAAGCATTCATTTCTCAATTGATCCGAAATAGGCACACACTGCAGCGAGGAAACGCGCATATTTCAAATTCCATCAAGATTTTAAGTACATCATTTATATAAATTGGGCAGGTGTTGCAGATCAAGAATATGTATGCCTTATGGGAGAGCAGATGTTGCCTTCAACGCGCTGCACTCGACGCGACAAATTCAAAGTACCCATTGCAAGGGTATACAAAATTAGCAAATTTAAAATTTATGTGTCGTCGTCGTCGACAGCAGCAGCAACAGCAGCAGCAGCAGCAGCAGCAGCAAACACACAGCGGACGTCGAGTGATGACCACAACGGAAAGTGAATGTCCGTCCGTCCACGCAAGACAGCATCGTCAACTGAGACGAAGACGAAGACGAAGACAACGATGACGATGACGATGACGATGACGCGTAGGACCTTCACTTTCATGATTCTTGGAATTTTCTGATCGCGGGCCAGTTAACCAATTAATCAGACTCAAGACTCCAGAACCGAACCGTGAGAGACACCGCGAGATAGAGAGATATAGAGAGCGACAGAGACAGAGACAGAGAGAGAGAGAGAGAGAGTCTACTCACCTGGACGCATTCGTTGACGCCGCGACTGATGCGCTGCTCCAGCTGCGCACGCGTTTCGCACTGTTTGCGCGTCATGCCCAGCGCCTTGAGCCACTCGATAAGCTGTCGTCTCTGGTATTTCCAGATGTCGCCGGCAGCTCCAATGATACCTGCAACGAGATGCATAAATACAGACATACATACATATTTAAATATGTACAAAATTAGTAGTTGCTGTATTAAGGCATTTGTTGTCCTCTTCTTTTTCTCTGTCTTCCCTTAAAGAAAATGAAAGCCTACCCAAAGTTCAGAAAATCCGGAGAGTTTTTCCGATTTCTGCAAATAATTTCTAAATTTACAAAACAGAACTTCCTTAAAGTGCACATCCCTTAATTGATTTTTTTCCACTACTCAGAAGCATTTTCTATTTTTTAGAAATATAGTTGTAAAAAAAGTAGCAAATCCTTTGTTTTTTTTTTTTTGTTAAATTCAGAAAAAATGACAGCAAATTTACTTCTGCACTTGAAATTCCAGGACATTTCTTTTTTGCTGGATTTTTCTGAGTGTAGCTTACCATAGCCACCCATAATGCCATGCGTTAAGTAGAGTGGAGCTCGTGCCGTCAGCTCCTCGTGACGAAGGAACTCACGCACCAGTGTCGCATCCGAGAGCACCACCGTTTGCACCCGGCCCATTTTTAGCTGATAGATGCCGCCATAGCGTTTGGCCAGCGCCTGTAGTGACTTATGCGGCGCCAGCCGGTCCAGGAACGGTAAATAGCCCAACAGGGGCAGGCCCCACGGACCGGGTGGTGTGCGTCCAAAGAGACGAGCATTCCGGCGCTGGCAAATCAACGACACGATTGCAACGATAATGCCAAGCAGGAGGCCCAGCACGATCAGGCCCATCCGTTCAGATCCATCCAAACGATTCTCATCCATAGTGTGCGCCTGCATGGCACTGTTAAATTGGCTAAAGGTTCTGCACTGTGCAACGTCTGTTCGGCAGCGAGGTTCTTCAATTACTGGCATTTCCATGGAAATCGAAACGTGTCGGCAGCGAAATGTAATGCTAAACGTCGAAAACGAAACAGGCAGACTGACAAACAGACAGCAGACAGCAGGAACAACTGAAGGCCATACCATGCTGGTATATATAAATGTATATATATATATATATATGTGTGTGTGTGTGTATGTCTGTATATATATGTGTACACACACTTAGGGCATAAACAAAAAGATTCACTTCTTCCTTGGCTCACGAAAGTACAAATTTGAAATTCAACCATCGCCGGCAACTGTTAAATGCCATTTACATACATTTTCATGCGCAGTTTGTACTACAACTCGCTGGTTGTCGCAAATCTCTTGCATATTTCTAATTCCTATTCTTTTTCCATTCTTTAAAGCTGGCCTTTTTTGTGTGATTTTTGATTTGTTTTTGATTGAACAGCTAAGCTCTTATAAAGCAGTCAAGCCAACAGATTTCATTATTTGTTTGTGCATTTTCGAAAGGAATTTATTTGTTAAGTAAGGGTTCTGTATCTCTATGTTGTATACTCTTTTTAGAAATTTATTTTCAATTTAAAAAAATTATATATGAAATAAAAAAGATGGTCTTTTGCATTTGCACTCTTTATGCGCTTCTTAGAAATATATTTCTTTATATTATTCCCATCTTTAAGTTAGAAATGCATTCTTTCATTTTAAGTCTCAAATCTTTTTTTCTTTTTGCTCATATATTTAGAAATTATTTCTTAGCACAGGAAAAACTTTTTGAGTGTACGCACATTGAAGCAGAGCTTTCAGAAAAGCTGCGGAAGAACTGAAAGTGAGACAGACTGATTTATATTCAGTGGCTCAGCGAATATCAACAATGGAGCACAGAACAAGTTCAGGGCCGATCGGCAGGGGCGTGCCGTTGACTTCTCACTTTGGATCCGGGCCCGGCCACAAAGGACCAGCAAAAAGGCACGGCAACTGGTCACTGGCAAGGCAACAGGTAACCAGATGTACGAGTGCTATTGCCACAACTGTGTGGCATTAACGTTTGCGAGAGACTTTACCAATATTGTATTTTTTAATGACCTGCCGGCTGACGCTAGCCCATGAATGTGTCTGCCAATGAACATCAACTTTCATCTACCAGTAACTAACTTGCTTGCACCCAGTGGAGATGATCATTATGCCGCTAAATTCCGCTAAACTGGTATGGAAATTGAGAGCATTCTCGCATATCAGGAATTTGGAGTGATATCTATCAGTCTCCCTCCTCCACCTTCCCTCTTAATATGTGAAACTATTTATCTTTGCACCATCAAGCAGTTATCTATGTATCAAAGTTCCTTCTATGATGATATACCAGATAAAAAGCTAATATATTATAATTAAATAATCTGACAAGAATTTTACTTAGAGCAAACATACTTTAGATATTCTATTTAGCGGTTTTTTGCCTTTTTTTCTTTCCTCATTTCTTTGCCATTTAGACCCTCGACCGTCGAATCTTTTTATTGTTGCCAACGCGACTTAGCAAAGGCTGAAGCTTCGAGATCAAACTGAAGTTTCTACGGTGAATGAGACTGGGACAGACTGAGACTGAGACTCAATGAACTTCCTATGTCTGCGGGCAAATAAAATTGTATCCCAACATCTACGCCATCTGGCATTGGGTAACTGATTCAGCATGCTTGAATCGGCCACAGGTTCAACCCAGCAAGATCATTGGCCGGGCAACATCCTATGGAAAGGACATGAACCCGAGTAAGTCCCAGAATTAGGCTTGTGCTGAGTTATTTTTAAACCATTTTGTCTGCCCCTAAGCAACCAGTGGCTGGCGAGTGGCAAAAATTGTGAAACTTCGAGAATTTGAAACTGCTGCAAAAAAAGTCTGTAAACTCGTGCCACACACACACACACATATATCCCCATTTGTTTATTTAATGCTCTAATGTCTAATCAGCGCATTGCGCATAAAAATTTCGGTTCGAAAATGGGGCAACTTCGACTTTTGCTTAGTGCGGCTCACGTGGCGTATGCGCGTTCTTCTTATCATTTCAACATTCTTTAGTAAGTACTCGCTTGTGCTTGCACACACATATGTGTAAGCCTTGTGAGTTTGTGTAAATTTCGTAATAGCAGCTTTTATTACAATTGCAACAGCAACAGCAACAACAACAACACACAACCAACAAACAAAACAACAACAATAAGAACAGTAGCAGCACCCGCGACAACTCTGTCTCGCTAGCTACACTGTTTGTGATATGGGGAGGGCATGCATAGCCGGACCAATTCCCCTACCACCTCCCACCAGCCTCTGCAACCCCACCCACCAGGCATTCTTTGACATCGCCAATCGATGTGTGTTTGCTTTTTATATAAATAATTTCGAAAGCACAAGCCAGGAAAATATGTCAAGGTAGTTTGCATGTTTTATTTCTTAACCCAATTTTCTCACTGCGCTTCACATTTGCTGTTGATATTTATATATTTATATACGCTGCCGTTGTCAATATTCTATGTACACACACACACACACACACCAACGTATATTAACACATATGCTTTGTGGCACATTTTGAAACGCTTGTCACTACCCAAATATGCCGCGTCAGATATTTGACCATTAATGGAACGCATCTCGCATTCGCATTGCACTCGCCCAAAGTCCAAGGTTGTGCGATGTAAGTATCAATTACTACGGCGGCTCAGTACCTGCTCGACCTTTTCAGATAGTTTGGCAAAGTTACCCGGCAGCATATTCATTTCGAAAGACATTTTGAAGACATTGATCGTTTTGCCGTGTTTTGCCAGACATATTAAATATGGTGCTGATGTTTTGTTGGTTTATTGCTGTTCTGAAGATATACAATTATTAATATTTGCTTTCATTTTAAATATTGCCTAAATATTATTTTGCGCTTTTAATATCTGTAAAACTTGAACAGATATTATTTATCCTTAATTTTAGTACAATTTTCTTACTTCCTGTCTTACCTCTTTGCCACTCTGTTCGTCCATTTCCACGGTATTACTTGTAATTGCCAATTCAGAATAGATAAAGACATGCAAATTACAATTTGTATGCATTTATTATTTGTCTTATTTAAGAAGTCACTATAATCAACATACTCAAGATAAAATAAGTTCTTTTTAAGTGTTAAATGTATTTTGTGGATAGTTAAGAGAAAGACACTTTCCTGAATTTGTATAATAGATTTTAACTTCTTTATAATTAAGTTGATATGGTTATTAAATAATTTACTATAAAGTTTATATGGTTACATGGTTATTAAAAGCTTGATTTTATAAAATAAATGTTTTTCTTTTCTACGTATTTGTGGCAAAAAACCATATATGCTTTCCTTATAATACACTTTTACAAAATCATATTAAAAATACTTCTTTTTATAATATGAAGAACTATTAGTCAAAAACGAGTCTTAAAATTAAGTCATATTTAGGAACAAGCAGACAAGAAACCCATTTTTTATCTTAATTACACCATTTCTAAATATTTGTTAACATAAAAGAATTAGCTTGACAAATACCTAATTAATAAAAATATTCAAATTAAATAACAAATTCGTGTGATATAGTTTCTTAAATGTCAAACATTTATTTGTTTTTTTTTTTTTGTTAACTTAATTGGCTAATATATTAATTAATAAAGCTTAGACATTTTACATAAAATATGCATAAATGTTAATAAATGCTATTTATATTTTAAAAGCGAGTTTTTTCCTTTGCTTAAATATGGGCAAAGTGAAAAGAGAGAGAGAAAGAGAGAGAGAAATAAAGGGAGCAGAAAACGGAGAGTAAAAAAATAAATCAAAGGCCCAACGGCAATATTTGATATCTATCCAATTTGATAAGGAAAACTTATGACATGAAATTCAAAAATGAATTTTGACATACAAAAAATCAATGCTCTGTTTTGAGCTAGTTTTGAAAGCTCAATCGGCACGCGGCATTGTGGTATTTCCCCCATTTAGCGTCAAGTTCATAGAAAAATAAAGAAAAACGATTAAAAAATATATCTGAGATGCAATTGCGCATTTGTAGTTGTTGCTGCTTGTCTGCATAATGTTTATTGGGTTTTTTCTTTCAACTTTTGCGCAAAATGAGTGCTGTTAGCGTACAAAAATAACTTCAAAATTTTACAATACCTTGACATCTTTCATAGACAAAACGAGCATTAATTTAACTCATCTAACAAGAACGTGTATGTGTACTAGATGCTTGTAATGATTAAGAACAGCAGTGGCAACAACAGTAGCAGCCGCAGTCGCAGCGACGTCGACTATAAATTACATAAACAAAAAAACAAACAAAAAACAAACAAAAACCAAACAAAAATCAAACAAAAAATGCACAAAAACAAAAAGCAAATTATTTTAATTTGGTCACATTTTTATTTCATTTCGATTTCGATGGCTGGCCAATGCACTTGGCAGCCGCAACCCGGGTCCGGCCCGAAGTTATCTCTAGTTAGTTGCTGAGCATTTGCTGCACAAATTAGCATAAACACACACACATATAGTGGGTATATATATACATACATATACATATATATATATATATATATGTGTGTAATATGTAATATGGTTGTAATATAATTTGAATCAAGCAATTTACAAATTGCAACTGAAAAGTTCTGTCCGGTGTTGAGGTACCTGGGTTTGTCCCAAGCTGACGCTGACGTTGATGCTGTCTGTGTCTGAGTCCAAGTCTGGGTCTGAGCCAAAAAAAAAAACCGAATCGAACCGATCCGAGCCGAGCCGAACCAAGCCAAGCATTGGCTGAGCTGCACACACAAACAGCAAATTGTTTTTGCCGTTGCAATGGCGCGCAGTTCAACGGCTTTTGCGCCATTTTAAGATCAATGCACCCCGCTGCAGCAAACGCTGACTCTGGCCGGGTCTAACAATTAAGCTTTGCTGCTGCCGTGCACCACCGGGCGCAGGCGGGGGCCCGGCCTGACTCGGCCCAGTGGCAGTCTAGGCCAGGTC